AAAATGAATTAAGGATTCTGAATTAAGTCTTCTACACTATTGTGAATAATTAAAACGAATAATGAAGGTAAAATAAATTTATGCATTGTTATTTTGATATTGTTCTTTTCTATGAAGCCTATAATTATGCAAATATTTTAAATATTGGTTTTTATTATTTTTATAAATTATTATCTCAATATGTTTATTTTAAATTGGATTTTCGTATTGGAAATATTATTATAATTTTGTCCTGTTATAGTACATTTCTATACAATCTTGTAGAAATTTTAAAAATAATTTAATAATTTCTTATGCGTGGTAGAAAATGTTATAATAATTGTTATGTATAATTGATTGTATATCAGTTTTTAAACTAAACGTCTACATATACGTATACATCAAAGCATATTTTTTAAATTTAATCTTAATTTTAACCACTATAATATATTGTTATAATATTTGAGAGTTATAATATTTCTCATTAAAAAATTTGTAATGTAATTTTATGTATAAATATAAAATAGTGTTTTATAAAGAAAAAAGTAATTCATTTGTTTTGTAAAACAATTTACTTTTTGCAAATCGAGTTTTTAAACATCTACAAAATTCATAGTGTTATACACCATCAAGCATTCTAACAGTATATTTCTAAGCAAATTATTCAAAAAAAAAAAATTTACATTAAGTATAGAAAGTTGATATTGGGTTTTTGGATTTGACAATTATGAAAACACTTTGTAAACAGAAATTCCACTTAAAAATAATTTAATTTTAAAATAATTAAGTAGTACATTATAAAAATTTTTTGAAACTAGATTATTTCAAATGGTCTCTATATAACTTTAAATACATTACTTGTTATACGCTACACTAATAAAAGATACGTTCGTTTTCGTAGAAAATCTCCATTCCCATCTATATATATATATTAAAAGTATACTTTTGAATATCAACTACGAGTACATATCTGTATCTGTTATACAATAAAATTTTGTATTTACCTATATATTTACCTATATACCTATAGAGATTTAACATTTCACTTTAATATTAAAGTTAAACCTTTAGGATATTCTATATATTGTAAGTTAAAAAGATAGAAAGTACAATAATTATCAACCTCAAATGTCCACCTTATAATATAAAGGTATCTACATACATGTAGAATGTACATAGGTACACATAAATAGAATAATTATGTATAATATCGTAATTTAATTTTATGGAGCCCTAATGTCTGTACATTTCTTTTTCTCTTTACATAATATGGTTAAAATGTTTATATATCATATATTAGCATATTATCGTTTTATTAAATATATATATGTATTTGTAAATGTATATACTTTATGTGAATTATATCAACGGTATTATCTAGTTAAAAAAAAAAAACACAACCGATTGGAACCAATAGTAAGCAAATAAAAATAAAAAAAAAAAATAACAAGAAAATTTGGCAAGAACAATATTAATTTTACTTTCAAAGCAAGGAAATTTTTTAAAAAATTATTCAAAACAACTAAAGGATACTGAAAAAAAAAGAGGATTTTTTTAATTTTTTAATGCTAATTGCATAATGTAATCATTTCAAATTTTATAAATTAATTTTAATTAAATTATTCAATCAAATATTTTTCAGCCGCCATTTAAGATTTTATTTAAAAATCATTTTTAACTCTGGATTTTTTCAAACAAAAGCTTAAATTAATCAAGCCCCATATGGCTTTAATTTTCAATTACATGAACTAAGAATGAAATTTATTATACCGTAATAAAACTTATAAGAATAAAATTACCTTAAAAATCTAGTACAATTTTTATTTTTGCAAAAAAATAAAACCAAAAAATATAAAATGTAAACAAAGAAGATGTTCACCATCTATCTATATATATATATATATATATATTCATGCATATACATAGATATATATTAATAAGAAAATCAATAGGAAAAATTTAATTTATGCGCAGGATTTTAAATTTTACATATAATATTTTACTATACACACAAGTATTTTTCTTTACAGAAACAAAATATGTATACAAATTCTACCTTTACTACTGTTATTAATTTTTTCTTTCTATGCCAAAATCAAAAAAGAGAATTTTGAGAAATCACATAAATGTATTAGAATTTTATGAGTGAGTAAGAGAATGAGAAAGTTACGAGTATCTATAATACACGAATATTATGATATTTACGTAGTTTCACTGTTCGTTAATCGTAACCTTTTGTAATGTAACAGCATTTTACGAAATAAAAAAAAAAAATTTTGTGAAATAACATGTGTGAATATTTTGATAATCTTACCAGATTGCCTCAAATCTTAAAAATTAAAATCTTATTTAATAAAATTTAAGAAATATATTTATGGTCTATCACATGCCACAAGCAATAAATCTATTTCATTAATTATTGATGCCGGGTTCTTGAAATCGTAATAGTTTTTTTTTTCGGTAATTTTGTATAACAGATTATAACACTTAGAATGTGTTATGTATTATATCTTAAAAAAAAACAATCTAATTTTTAAGTAAAATTTGAATACTACACAAATATTCCTTTTTATGAATAAAAAACAAAAGAATAGCATTTTATAAATAATAATAAAACGTTTGGCAATTCTTTCAAAAAAAAAAAAAATTCTTATATCCAAATTTTTACCGATATTTTATTTCATAGCACATGCTTCAATATTTCTCTATAATATTTGTTTTTTTTTTTCAAATATATTGAAATTTTAAGGAAAAAGAGTATAAAAAAGTAACCTAAGCACAATGGTATTGTATTTTTCTCTAGTACACAATTTATATATGTATTATATAATGTACATATATGTATATATATATATGAATTAGTATAGAATATTTAAGCATACAATAATAATTACATATTAAATGCATACAAGTTTTATAAAAACACAAAAAAAAAAAAAAATTAAATAATCTGCAAAATTTAAATTGCACATTATGCATACTTTTAGGGGTAAGAATATCCTTTCAACATTTTGTTTTGCATAGAAACTGCAAAAGAATTTCTCATAAAATGCATACAAAAATACATGTGTATTGATATGTACATTATAAAATAAAATTTTTATACAAATAGACAAATACATTTTCTCATTGCTGTATGTGTGTGTATTTAATATATATCGTTAACATAGAAAATACCTTAATATTTTATACATCTCTATTATATCTGGTTAAAATATTCTTATATACTAAGGTACATGTGCTACGTTGTACATTCGCACATTAGAATTATAAATCGTGTATACAAATAAATATCTACATATATGTATATTTTATGTTTACGATATTATGTACCTAACTACATACATAAAATATTTTAGTCGGTGTATTTTTATCATTTTCATTTTTCACTATTTTTCATTTTTATTTCTCTCTTTTTTTTCTTTCATGTACTCATTGTTTTCGTTTCGTTTTCTAGTTTATTTTTTTTTTTTTTGAAATTTTATTTAGAACAAAACACACGGCAATGTTATTTGTATACGTAATATATTACTATATATTAATGTATTGTATGTAGGTACCCCCTTATTTTATGACGTCAATGACGACCCTAATATACAAAACTTTTCCCTTTTGTCCTGAATTCTGTGAAAAAGAAAAATATAAGAACAGAAAATAAAAGTAAAAACTAAAATGAAATGAAAATTTTCTGAAAAAAGTTTAAAAAAAAAAAAAAAAAAAACAATAAAAATAAAGAGTGAAAATATAAAAAAAAATGGTAAATGGCCTGCTTGTAATGCAAAATATATAAAAACTATGTATGTTTACAAGTGGACGGGTAAGAGTACATACATATATTTTAATAAAAATATGAAACTTTCAAATATATGCAAGTTCATATATATTTACGTACAATAATTAATATTCACATTAATGTGTAAATATTCTCTCAAAAGTAAGATTAAAAAGTAGGTACATATATGACTTAGATTTCATATTTAGAGAATGGATTCTTTAGCAGCTATTCTATAACAGTGCAAATTATAATCACATATTAAATGATTTTTTTTTTTTTTTTTTGCTACATTCTTATGTTATATTATATTTTGTTCTTCATTTTAATTTTTAGTATTCTACTCTATATGTATGTCCCTCTTGTAATCCTTTTTACTTCTTTTATTGTTGCGACAAAAAAAAAAAATATGTAGAGAAACATTAAATATAGAAATATGAATAGATTGTTTTTTCATTGCTTTTTTTTTTTATTTTGCAATGGTAAAAAAGCAACTATGTTATTATAATACAAAAAATATGATTTTACATATATAAATATAATACATATATATATAGATAGTTTTCTTTATAATACACCAACATACATATAGCATAATATATTAAAAATTTTTTTATAAAATATTATTGTACATTTTTTCTATTTACAATAAAAGTGGAAGTAAAAAAAAAAAATGCAATGAATAGGAAAAACAAAGTGATGTAGATGTTATGTAGAGCCATTTATATATATATACATACAATATATTTATAATATATAACATATATACATAATACTCGTATTTGATATACACAATAATTGTATGAATATGCAAATAATAATAATAATAATAATAAAAAATAGTAGAATAGAAATTGAATGCATCTTGCTTACCAAAAAAAAAAAAAAAAACGACCATAAAAACAAAGAAAAAGGAAATTACATTTTTTAAATTAAACATACACACATATTATATTATAAGAATGTATTTATATAAACAAAGTATGTACGATACGTATTGAAAATTTTTTTATTTCTACCAAAAATTTTCATTTCTATTTTTAGAATACATGCTTTTGAATGTTAGTAATATATATGTATAAATATAAAATGTGGTATATAAAAATTTTAAAACTATAAATTTATTTTGTGCATATACAATAGTGAAAGTATTTAATTTTCAAACACATTTACATATATATATATATATGAATATATGTTAGGAAATCCATATACATATTTTTGTTTTTCCAACGAAACATTTGCTTAATTTTAAAATACGATACATCTAAATTGAATAAAATTAAATATTGTAATATAATAGGTTTACTTTAAATATTAATTACTCATATATAAATTAAAATCATTAACTTTTTCAATAACATATTTTTCTTTATCAAATAATGCTTCACCAATTGCTGCACGAAAAGTTTGTAAATTAGGCATTAATTCACAATCGGGTATATTTAATAAATTTTGAAATATTGGACCCCAAATATCTTTTTTTAAATATCTTGGGAAACGTTGTTTTGGTGCCCATATTCCACATAAATTTTTATGAACATCCATATATTTGCCATATAATAGTACATGTATTATTCCAGCAACACCATATAAATCTGTTTGATATGTCCAAGGGCGTCCTTCACGCATTTCAATACATTTAAAATCATCTTTTTCATGTGTATACATAAATGTTTGTTTTTTTGGAAATAATTCCATATCAATTGAAACACCAAAATCTATTAATTGTACAGCTAATTCATTTTTTGGGTAAGAGAGTCTAAAATACAAAAATTATAAATATTAAGTGGAAATTTTAATTATTACGAAAAATTAAAATTTACTTTGTCATTAATAAGAAATTATCTGGTTTTATATCTGCATGAATAATTTTTAAGGCATGTAAATGATCAATAATTTGAAGAATTTGATCAGTTAATATCATTACAACATATTCGTCCAAATTTTTATTTGTTTTTCGTTTGTAAGTATTGCAAACTGCTATAAGTGACCCATACGGTGATAATTGAGAAACATAAATGCTAGCATTATTTCCAATCAGAGCATATTCGATATTCATAAACGCCGGAAGCTAAAATATTAAATTTCCTTTTACTTTTGTTCTGTTTTGTTTTTCTTAAATACTATTTACCATGTCAACATTTTCCACACGACTCCTCAATTCAAGACAAACATAATATTCCCACAAATTAGCAGGTTTTTCCTGTTTCAAAGCAAACATTTTTCCAGAGTATTTTTCTTTTGCGCTGCAAAAATATTTGTATAGAAACATTAAATATTTTTTACTAATATTGTTTAATTACCTATAAATAGTACCAAACGTTCCTTCCCCAATCATTTTGCAAACAGTGAACTTTTTGTTTTTTATAGCAATATCATTACCTGCATTAAGCTTATTTATTTTACCTTTCAATTCGCATGAATCTAATTGCTGAATATGATTGGTAAATTCTATACTTTCAAGGAAAGCTGTAGTTAACTCCGAAGAAAACGGATTAACATTGATATCTAAAAATTTGTCTTTGATCATAATATTTGTTTGATCTAGATTTTCTGGATTAAAATGTACGAAATCAGATACTGGATCACTTTCATCTCCATCAGTCCAAGCGTGTTTTTGTGTATTACAAGATTCTATAGATTTCGTATATATACTGCGACCCAAATAATTTTCTTCTTTATCACACATATTAGAAGCTCGTTGGATATTGCAATCATTATCCTTTTCAGTTATTTTTAAAGAACTCATTTCTTTGCATGCGATATCTTCCACACCTCTAATTTTTTTTTCAATTTTTTCATGATTAGGAGGTATTTGTGTACCTGAGCAGTGCTCACTTAGTGAAAAAGCATGCATTTCTTCATATCCTAATTTTTGATTCGGTGATGTTTCTATAATTTCTTCTTTAATATGTAAGCTTAATTCGTGTATATCTGGGTGTGTTTTCAGGGAAATCTGATCTGAAATTTTGGGTCAATTAGCTATAATTTTTCAATTATTTAAAAATACTTTACGAATTTAAATCATACCTATGGGTTTAGTATCATGAATAGATTTGTTTGACGTTTGCGATACAATTTCACGTTCGGTTTTAATCCTGCTTTTATTTTCAGCGAAGGAATTTGACTCTTTATCGGCTAACTTAGGTAAAGTTAAATCGCTAAAATTAGGTAAAATTGGTTGTTGTCTTGGATAGTTTTGTTTTTGAGCAAAGTCAAACACAGGAGTTACGTATTTCTCTTCAACAACTAGTGAATTCACTAATTTAGGAGTTGGGGAAGTTTTTGGTAAGCATTTATTAATATCAGGACATTTAGGTAACGTCAAGTCATTTAATTTTGCAAATGTCAAGGAATCATTAATTTCAATTGTTTTCGATATTGCGGCAGTTTGTCCTTTTCTTTCAGGTGTTTTTACAAAATAGTTATAGAGGTCATTTTGAAGTTGATCTGAAACTTGATCTTCTTGATAATTTGATTTTGCTACAGAATAAGTTTCTGAGACAAAACTTTTTTCTACACAAGAAAATTTATTTGATGATTTTTCACTATTGCCTTTGCTAAAAGAAAACTTTGCAATTTTAGGAGCTGGGGAATCTTTTGGTGAAAACTTGATGTTTTCTGGGCATTTAGGTAACGTAAGATCATTTAATTTTGAAAATGTTAAAGAATTATTGAAATCTTGGACTTTATATGCTTGTGCCTTTCTTTCAGGAGTTTTTGCAAAATAATCGTATAAATCTTTTTGAGGAGTTCCTTCTCTAGATTTCTTAAGTATCATTTTGGGAACCGTTTCAGTTTTTTCCTCAAATATTTGTATAGACTTCATATTAAAGCATTGACTTGCATCATTGATTTGTATACATTCTCCTAAACATTAAAATGTTGTTACAAATTTTAACCAAATCAACTGCAAATGTTTCTTACCTGTTTTGGGATTAATACCAAAATTTCCACCTTCTTTACCAAATTTTTCAACGTTATCTGTATTCGTTGCAATTTTTTCTAAATTTTTTTGTTGATCTTTATATTTTATATTTTCTTCTTCTACAGATGTTATTTTGGTTTTAGTTTCATTATTTTTATTTATTTCTCTAAAAGAATTATCATCAATAACCAAACTAGTTTTCTGCACACCTTCAGAAAGTTTTGTGTTAGAAACAGTTTCAAATATTTTTGGATTCCCTATATATGTGCTATGCAATGATTTATTTGTTTTATTTGCATCATTTGAAATACTTTTTATGTCTACAGATTTTATTATTTCAGGATCGCATGATAAGGTTCCTGGTGTATCAACAGAAGATTTTGTGCTGCCAATAGCCAATGTATTTGGTTCGGACATTTCCATTATAGTTGAGAGTTGTTTATAAGGTTGTGGATCTGCATTATATTGTGGTGATGTGTTTAAAACTGTACTCAAAGCAATATTTGTACTGGATGTACACTGAAGTTCTTTGGAAAGAAGAGGAAAACTTAATTTATTGCTTTCATAATTTGATTTTTGCTTTTCTTCATTGAAGTTATCAATTACATCTGGTGATTTAACTCCATTTTTTTCAATTTCATCAATAGTTTTTTGTTTTATGCAATTTTCTACTTTTTCATTTATTTGTTCTTTAATATGGGTAGTATACTTCTTCCCAATTGGAGTACTAGCTGGTTGGGCTCTTACGAACAAATTAAAATTTTGAGTGGAAAATGTTTCATCAACAGCAAAAACTCCCATTTGTGGTGTTTTGGTATTAATACATTCTTCGGTTTCTTCTTCCACTGCTGGTACTTGAGGTTTTAGTTTAATCGGACGGGGTTGTTTAAATTTAAAACTTCCGTCGGGATCTTCATAAATCACAAAATTATCCATATTTTTATTTTCCGTACTGGCTGCTTCTTTTACGTCGTTTTCATTATTTAAGACGGAATTATTTACCGGACTTTTTTCTTGCATCTCGCAAATTTTAAATGGCGGCTTAAATACTTGTTGTTCTTGCAATTGTGCTGATGGAAAATTGAAATTTACTTCTGGACAATTGTTAACTGCGACACTTGGTTCCATTTCAACATTAGATACATGGAAATTGGAAGTTGAAGGCCCCTTCATATTAGAATCTGTGACATTTTTAAAAATTTTAGGAAATTGTAGGTTTGTTGGTGCCGCAAATGAAATGTTATCAGATACAAAGTTTTGTGCTTCTCCTTTTTGTGACGAAATATTATTTGGTGCAAAGCTGTTAGACGCCATTTCAATATTAGAAATGTGAGATTTAGAAGTTGATGGCTCATTGGAAGTTTTTGCATTAAAATCTAAAGGAACCAGATTTTTAAATATTTTAGGAAATGGTAAATTTGCTGAAGCCGCAAACGACATGTTATCAGGTGTGAAATTTTGTGTTTCTCCTGTTTGTATTTCTGGTGAGATTGGATCTGCAGCTAAATGATTTGGATTTTCTTCTTGAACACATGGCCAAGGTTTAAATATCTGAAAGATATTTATTTAAAATTAAAAAATTAAACATTATGTAAAAATTTTCAACCGTTTTCCTTTCTGTAGGAAATGGAGCCATCGATTTTCTTGAGGGGAATATACTTGTTCTACCAACGATGTTAGTAAAGCATTGTGTTTCATCCATTCCTTCTTCAACCATTATAGTTTCATTTGCATTAAATTTGATTTTACGTTTTCCAGACTTAATCTTCTCATATAATATTTCTTCAAATTGCTTTTCTCTTTGAACTAATCCATTTTCCACCTCATAATATACTTCGCCAATATTAACCAGTAACTTAGAACTTTGCGAATTTTCTAGTTTAAACTGTGACAGTTTAAAATTAGAATGCTTATCCGGTAGGTTTGTCTTTGGAAAATTTTTGAACATTCGAATACCAACATTTATTTCATTACCAAAGTAACTCGCACTCATTTCTGTAAATTTATTTTGAACTCCATGTTTTAAAAACCATTTATAAGCTAAAATCTCCTCAGTTGAAAACTCAATATCAGGTTTCGGATAATGAAATAACTTGTTATATTGGGGAAAAGTACCAGGAAGAACTTCATTATCTGCTATAATTTCTACTTTCCAAATTCCTTGTGGATAGTTTTGTTTGGCAAAATTTTTGGGCAGTTGTATACCTTTTGAAAAGTTATCCTCGTAATTTTCAGTAAACGGAGTTGCAACTTGAGGCTTTTTAGAAGAAAGTTTTCTTGAATTTTCGCCTTCACTTTCTTTATCATCTTCAAGTATCGTAAATCCTATTTCATGTTCTTGACTTTTTGCATGGTCAAATAAATGACCTCGTTTTTTCAATCCCTTCGTCCATGGACCAGGTTCTTTTAAATTTTCCTTCTTCCTTACACTATCAATTATATTTTTTACTACAGGAATATGATGCTCTTCTATTTCTGGTGGATTAAGGGGTAAATTAGGATTAATATTTTGATCCTCAAAAATTTGGATTCTAGCATTTCGATTATTTGCAAAAGATTCGTTTTTGTCATTAATCTAAAAATGTTTATCCATTTTAATTGTCAAATTTGATCAATTATAAAAAAAAAAAAATATAAATATAAATTTTAAACTAGCTAAACTAGAATAAGTATGTGAAATTTTATGTGAAAATACAAATAAAAAAGAAAAACAAAACAAGTTTATACCTTGATTTTCCCTGGGTTTGAACTCTTGACAGCACTTCCTGTCCGAATACTTCCTACTTTTTTCTTATGTGGTCTTAAAGAAGTTAAAGCATGCCTTCTTTCTCTTATTGAAGTCATCATTTCCTCTTTCGACGTTTCATCTTGGTGAAGTATACGTTGAGACATAGTGAAACCGAAATGTTTATAAGCTTGTTCAAGTTCCTCGTAAGGTTGAGCTTTCACTTCTATTCCTTTTCTAAATATACTGTCAGCTTTATGAAAATTCCCCACAAGATCATAGTAATAAGCCCAACATATATATAAATCTGCAATCATGGTGCCTATACCTGAATTGAACAATTCCTGATAAAGTTCAACAGGGTTTTCTTCTGTATCAATCTATGAAATGTATGTTAAAAAAAAGTTAAAGTTCATTTTTTATAAAAAAGTTAAATTCAGTATATTTACATATTTAATGAAAATCCTAATCAGACGTCTATCCTGGTAGTATTTTTTATCATCTTCAAACGTAGTTAAGCACTTTAATAATAACTTTTTCAAACCGCTTTCATTGCCTCCACTTGGATAACTTTGTTCAACCCATAGTATATACTCGTACCATGGTTCCAAGGGATCTTCTCCTTCATAGTTATGAATTGCATTTTCCAAAATTTCACGCTGTTTTTGTAATTCAGAATGATACGTTAGAGAACTTGTTAAAATACTTGCATTTCTTCCGCTAGCCAATGGCTGAATATTTTCTTTTGCATTTTCAAAATCCATTTCAATATAATGCTACTTTAATATTTTTGAATGACTATGTGAGGCACGTACAATAAATTGTCACAAAAACAAAGTATGTACAGCAATATGGAAAAAGCTGATGGATTCCAAAATTTTTAGTTGTTGTTTATTTAAGTAAAACAGACACAATTAATGAAATATTTTCAAAATTCAATGTTATATCAATTAAATTTCCTTTAATATAATTTTTTTTCTGATACTTGAAACAATACAATATTTAATAAAAACAAAAAATATTACTGAACTGACGAGAGCCACTGTAAATTTTTTATCAAACCAGTAACCGCCTTTTTGAAAAATACTCTAAAAATATTTACAAAAGTCTGCTGGGTAATTGTTGAGGGCTGCCATTTTTAATCGGTGTGACCATCGGTAAAACTGTATCTGCTGTTTTTTCGGGGAACCCAATGTGTAATAACTACAATTTTATAAATAATATTAATAATAGGATAAATATTTAAAAAATCTTAACTAAATTATAATAAACAATGGAGTCTAAGAGGCTATATTAAAAATAACTTTATTAGAAATAACGGAGTTATTTTTTGACAACGTCAAATAAAATGTTAAATTGATCACAATCTGTCAAAAACTAAATAATTTTTGATTGAAATTCAAATTTAACTTGTTTTCGCAGTTCTTTCAAAGATGAGTAATTCATTATAATGTATTATAAAACCTTCAAGACAGAAATGTGTAAGCAAAAAATATGCACAAATATTAAAATTATAATTTTTCTCTTAATTAAAGAAAATCTTGGAAAAATCTGGAGAAAAATAAAATTACAATGTAAAAAATTATCGTATATTTGATTTGAGAGTTTATGATTATATTGAAAACATACAAAATAGTTTACATTTTCTAAAATTTAAAATATATCTTATAAAGAAAAATTATGACTTTAGTAGTGTAAAAACTATGGTAAAAACTTATATTTCTAATAATTAATAATTTTAAGCCTATTTATAATAGTTTTTATGAAATATACAGTAGTTTTGATTTAATACATAAATTTTAGATGATTTATGAAAATTAAATTATTCACGTCTGGTAACAGTTATATTATTGCATTTTGCTCTTTTGACACTCATTTTTCTACAAATCCATACAAGAGGCACAAAGGGTAAAATTTTCTGGCAACTATGACATTTCTGACAGATATGTACTTTTTATAAGTTTGTAAATTTGTTGATTTTTGTTTTTTTTTTATTTGAGTAATATTTTACTTATGAATTTTAAAAAAATTATTTTTAAGATTTTTCAATAAATATAAGTATTAAAATTACATACACAACTATTAATTTAATTCGAAATATTTATTAAAAAAAAGCCAATGTCATTCGGTGTTGAGCAAGTAAAAAAATTTCAATAAATAATTGAATAGCTTTGCAAAGATAACAATGCCTCATGTTTTTCAAAATTGGTTTTTTTTTTTCAAATTCAATCTACGTGCAAGTATATATATAAATTGTTTTTCTATTTTCATGTTCTGGTTATTCGTATATAAAATTAATATAAATTTTATAAAAAAAAAGTAAAAAAAAATTCGCTGCGGACAGGATTCGAACCTGTGCGGGTAGAACCCAATGGATTTCAAGTCCATCTCCTTAACCACTCGGACACCGCAGCACAAAAATTTGAATGTCAAAGTTACCATTTAATTATATGAAGAAAAAATTGTTATACATGTTTTCAAACACGCAACATAATTGTAATATACCAAAATTTACTTTATAAAAAAATTTAAGAGCAATTTCAGCAAAAACATAAAAGTACCTTAAAAAGTTATAAATATTTAATGAAATAATCAAATGTACCTATATACATATTTCAATTTAATTCGCGTACATAGAAAAAATACAATATGTACATAAATTATTTATTCACCAAAAATTAAGATTTCGAAAACCAAAAGAATTGCATGATTTTAATATCTGTATTATCCTTATTTTCTTTACTTTATAAAATAAATTTTAAATTTATTTTACATTTTAAAATCGTTTCTAATTAATAAAAATTTTGTAAAAAATTAAAAAAAAAATGAATGCGCTGCGGACAGGATTCGAACCTGTGCGGGCAGAACCCAATGGATTTCAAGTCCATCTCCTTAACCACTCGGACACCGCAGCTTCAAACCGAAACTTGATTTTTACAGCGCTATTCCAATAGAGCTTTTTGTAAAACTTTTTAATACATATTTTATTATTAGTAAAGCTTTTAATTTATCAACGATCACTTATAATGTATACCAATTTTAGCTGATTAATTTTTAATGCGAGAAATTATACGAGATTCAATTGGCTCAATACAATCATGTTTATTTTTATTTAGAGGCAATCTTCTCTTCTTCTACTTTTTGATTCTATTTTCCTTTGTTTTCTTTATGCCATCTTATAATTGTAAATTTCTGTAATTAATGTAGTTTTTGATTACATTGCAAGATATATTTAAGATATAAATGTGGCAATATTTTATGTCTTAAAGAAAAGCTTACGTTCTACTTGAATTCAAATTATTTGAATTTAATTAAATTTAAATTGAACAATAGCTGTAAGTATTGAAAAATAAAACACCAAGTCGAAAAACTGTCTTACTTTTTTTTGTTATTTTTTTTTGTCACCTTTTTTACATCGAATTATTTTTTAATAATAATGAAATATTGTTTAATCTTTTACAACGCCATGGAATAATTAAGAGCTAATTTCAGTATATAGTATGTATTTTATAAAATTTAATTTGCTTGTGGCGCGAAATAGTTTGTTTTTTTTTTTTCGAAATTATGCCATTAATAGTTTAAAAAATTTGTGATAGATGTCATGCTTGCGAAATATTTTTAAACTATTTTAAACAAAATAATTTTGTAGCTGCGGTGTCCGAGTGGTTAAGGAGATGGACTTGAAATCCATTGGGTTCTGCCCGCACAGGTTCGAATCCTGTCCGCAGCGGAATATTTTTTTTTTTTTGTAAATTAAAAAAAAATAGTGCAGAAATTTATGAGATTTTTATTTATTTAAAAATTTATCGATTTATTTTATAAAAACAATGAACTGAATTGAAAATTTAAGATTATGAAAATTGAAAATTTATTTCTTTAAAAAATTTAAGACCTTATATAAAAGGACTTGGTATATATTCTGCTAAACGATACCATTATTCTGTTAAACGATATTATTTCTAAGATAATATTAAAAAATTGATTTTTTTTCTGAATAATAGAAATAATTTCTTAATAATATTGTGCGGTATTACAATATGCGTCTGATAATAAGTGATGCGTCTAAGAGAATAACAAATATTTAATAATTTAATTAGTTAATATTTCAAGACTGCGATTCATTGTTCTTTACATGGTTTAAAATTTTATTTTAGAAGTTAATTATTGTGATTGGTACATTTTTTTTAAATGTTTCAAGCTTTTTCTCTTATCTTCTTCCTCACCCATACCATCTTACACAGATATCTAAAAACTGCTATTTTTTGTAAATTAATTTTTTGGTGAATTAAAGGGAATAAATTATGCATAAAAAAAAAACATATTTTGATTCATTAACATTTTTTTTGTTTATTATTAGAAAAATTAATTTGTTCTTTAGCGTTTTTATTATTTCAGTATGATTATAAGATTTAACATTTTTGTTCGATTTGTAAACTTACATTACACGTAAAAAAAAATTCTAAAAGTGCGTTTTTCTTTTATTTTTTTATTTTTTTTTTTGGCAAATTATTTCTAATTTATAACGTTAATATAGAAAAATTTCAAATTTATTTTTAATAATTTTAATTTATATAATAAGGATGAAATTCATATTATTCCAATTTATATTATTTTGTAATAAATGTTTTTTTAAATTTATTACACTAATATTGCAATTTTAAATGAATAATTTCAATTTTTAGCAAGCAAGAATATATATAAAATTATAACTAGTTTTATAAAAAAAAAAAAATAAAAATTGTATAAAAATAAAATTGATAATAATATTCGAATATTTTATGCTTAGTAATTGAAATATATGCTTAGTAATTTAAATATTTTATTGTTTATTACTGTTGTTGAAAATAGCATTTTAAAAACTTTTAAAAAAGCATTACTTAATATAAATTTCTTTGCAATGAAAACTATTAATTTTTATAGAATTCACTTTTATAGATTTCACTGTATTAATCAAATAATAATAAGACCCAAAAGTGATAGTATAAATTCATCCTCAATATATAATAAAATTAATTATTTTATATTTACAAATTAAGAAAATTATTTTTAAATTAAAAAATATTATGAATATAAATTTTTTTTAATAATAATATTATTAAAAGTTAAAAAAGTGAATGTTATAATTATAAGTGAATTTAAATTATTTAGAACCAAATTGCCCTTTTCTCAACAATAAATATAAATTAAACAAGAGAAAAAATATTGTAGTTGTTTTTTTTTTTTTTCAGTTAACATTTTTAAATTTAACAATCACTACTACTTATACTATTAAATTGGTATATTAATATACAAATATATATATATATATTATTTTATTAAGGTATATAATATAAAAGATTTCAATAAAATTAAAAATTAAATACATATACACTTATATATACCTAATTAAATAATAATAATAATAAAACAAGAATAGTGAAACGAGTTTTCTAAAACTTTAACTAAAGAGCAGTAGCAAATAATTATTTTTCTTTAAAATTTTACATTTTTCCATAACAAATTTTTAAGCTTACCTTTAACATTAATGTCTTTTATATTTTATAAAATTCTATACAATCCGATTTAATAAATACAATCCGATAAATGATTTAAAAATTTTGAAAAATTTTAATTTTGATAAAATTGTTAAACTAAAACCATTTGAAAATTAATTTTCATACATTCGTATTTTTATCAATAAAGAATGAATATAAATTATGATTTTTAATTTATAGTCTAATTGTTTTATTTTTTTTCCACCGTTTGAAAGCAATCTAAGTTGCTTTATCGTTTAGACTAGTATCTATTAAAACCGAAAAATGTAGGGGTAAGAATATTATTAAAATTATTATGTATATATTATAATAGATCAATTTTAATTAGAAAAATATGTATAAACTTAACCTTTTCAAAAAAAAAAAAAAAAACAAAAAAAATTGTATTGTTGTGAACTACTAAAATAATCGAAATATTTTTGAATTCCATTTTATAATTTCATATTTTCATTTTTCGTTTTATAGTTAACTTTAACAATATTTTATATTTAATAATGAATTCCTTTTTTGTATTATTCACAATTTTTAACATAAATTATAATTTATTAATTTTATTAATATATGTATAAATTTTTATAATTAAAATATACTCTTGAAAAATATTACAATATATCAATTTTCTTTTTATTTTTGTTTTTTTTTCATGGTTATTGCAAAATATTATTATTTTAATTCTTTTTATAACTTCTCCTATTTTCTTTTTTTTCTATTACTATAGCAAATTATTTGCATTTATTAAAACTGCTATTTATTTCTTCAAATCAAATTTTATAGTTGAATATGAAAATTCAAAAAATTCAACTATCAAGTAATGTATCACTAGCCTTATCTAATTCATCGAGTGTATCTTCAGAACCTGAACCAGTTAAATCAGATAATTCATCTAAATGTTTTTGCCGTTTGCGTACGTTCCAGTGTAAACAACCGGCTAATGAATCAAACCAATCAGAAATTTGATCTTGAGCACATATACTTGGAACTGGATATATTGATGTTGTTACTCTTAAACTATCACCATGAAATAATTCTTGTCGATTTCTACCGTCAAATGATACCCATGATGTATTTCGGCTATCTGGTGATATTGAAACCTACAAATATCAAAAAAAAAATTCAGTAAAATTGTATTATTTAAAAAATTTTAATAACTTTTTGTAGATATTTTATAAATGTGCCGATAATTTTTCTTAAATTTTAATTTACCTTAAGTTCAACACCAGCTGGTACAACAATTGGCCGAAAACTTAATGAATGTGGACATATTGGTGTTAAAAGTATAGCTGGTACAGATGGATGAATCATTGATGCACCAGCAGCAACTGCATAAGCTGTACTACCAGTTGGTGTTGAAATAATTAAACCATCACCTTGTACCGATGTTATATATTTTCCATCCAAAAATAAATCGATATTACTTAAAAATGGTGATGGTCCACGATCAACAACAACTTCATTCAAAACTAATATATTAGTTTCATCTTTTGTACGTTTATTATTTTTATTACTGGAAATTGTATTTTCTGTATGAGTAGAAGCATAATTATTTTCATTATTACTGTAATAAGAATTTTCTGATATATGATTTTGATGATGATTATTATGATGATTTGTTATTGCTCGACCAGTTGCTGTTGTTGTTATTGTTTCATCAATATTATCTCTTGATTTTCTTACAATAATACAACGTAAACGACTGCGTAATGTTAATGCAGCATGACCTTCTAATACATTAGTAACTTGTTCTTGAAAATTATCAAAACGGAATGGTGTAAGAAAACCTAATGAACCTAAATGAAAAGCCATTACTGGTGGAACTGATTGTTGAAATAATAATGAAGCATATAATAATGTTCCATCACCACCTAAACAAATTATAAAATCAATACGATCAGTTAAATCATCTCGGCCATCTCTAAAATTATAAGCAAAATAACAAAAAAAAAAAAAAAAAATACAAATTAATAAGATAACAAAATATAATATTATTTGTTTTCTTAAAATTTTCATTAAAACTCACTTAAAAGTAACCAATTTATCTTTAATCGTTTGAAATTTTAGATCAGCTTGTAATAATGGATCATCTAATACTGCTGCTTCAACCCATACAACCATACGTTTCTCTTGAACTAACCATTCAACTAATTTAACAAATGGTGGTAAAACTGTTGAATCCCGAACTTTTTTAATAACTAAAACAGTTAATGGTGGTTTATTCCAAGTTAAACGTTGGCTTGCCGGATCTTGAATTTGCCTAAAATTTAAGAATAATAATAACAAAAAAAAAAAAAAAAATTAATAAAATAAATCTAAAATAATGTTTTGATTTTATATTTTTTAATATTTTTCAAATAAAAGTTTAACACTTACATGACCATTGCTTGATTTTTCATTATACGGCCACATGGTCCAAACTGTTGAAATGGCGATGGTGCATTTAAACTTCTTGTGCGTCTGTAATTAAAAAAAAAACAAAAATTTAAATTAAATTATTCGAAAAGAAAAAAAAAAATAAATTTAATATTCTTAAAAAAAATATTTAGATTTTTTAGGAGATTTTTTTTTACCTAACTTTTAAATGATTATTGTATAACATATTTTTTTTTTAAATTATATTTTATAAATATAAGAAAATAAATTAATTATAGAAAATAAAATAATTACAAATTTAAATAAATTAATTATTTAAATTATTATTGTCTCTCAAGCAAAAAATAATAATTTTTGAATTGAAAATTTTTTTATATTTATTTTATTATTGAATTAAATAAAACCCTATTCAATATTCCCCCTTTTTTATATATAAAAATATAACTTATTATATTACAATTTATTTACAAATATTATAAATATAAATAAATAAATTATAAATAATTAAAAACACACATATGTTTTGTGTATAACAGATCTGTTATAGTATATATACTTAATATTTTTTGTAGTAATAATATAATTAAAATATTATTAGATGTGCCAGACGTCCTTGGTTATATTTCAACAAAAGTATTATATTATGAGTAAATATTCAATAAACTTTAATACTAAAAAAAAAAAAATTCTATTGTGGGAAAGCGGATGTTAACATTTTGGTTAGATTATTATTTATTATTATATTAGATATTAAAACGTTACTCGTAAAAATATTGAAAAATTCAACATGATTTTTTAAAAGTAAGTAAATTAATAATGCGCATCTTTTATTCATACATACATATATATATATATAAATAAATTTATATATATATATATAACACTTATGTATATTAAAATAATATACAGGTTTGTTATAAAAATTTTTCTGTACTAATAAATATTGTTATTGTTATTAATATATAAAATAAATATACCAAATAAAGAAAACACCAGAAAATATTATACATATGTACATATATGCATAAGTAAGTAACATTAATTTAATATTATGTATATATATATATTTGTAAGTATATAACACTTAAACGCGATATTTTTATAATGAACTTGTTTAAATGAATTTTTTGTTTTTTTTTTTTTTCGGTCTTAAAACATCCGGAATCGTAAGAAAAATTGTGTGTGAAGGTGGTTCTTTTTTTTTAAATATAACAATAAAAAATATATATATATATACGTATATACATATTTAAATATATTATTATAAAATTTAAATATAACAATATTTAATATTTAATTTTATCAAAAAAAAAAAAAAAAATTCAAAATAAATTTTTTTATAATTATAGAAAACCAGTTGATTTGTTAGTAGAACAATTAATGGGTCATTTACCTGGAAAATAAAACATGTAAACAAAATTTGATAAATTTTTTTTGGAGATTTGAAGTAATTGTTTTGATTTTTGGTAATAATTTTTATTTTAATAAATTATTTCTATTGTATAAGAATATTCGATAAAATTTAAAATATAAACAAAAAGAAATAATATTTTACTTGATTTACTAATGAAAATTATAATATGTTGTAATGTATGTATATGAACAATATTATTATATACATATTCAAATTTTTTGAAAGTTCTATTACTTGTAATGCAATAGAATTTTAAATATAATAATGAACTGGTATTTCCCTCAAATATTTAATTGATTATGTATTAAGAATCACGTACGCCCAAAAAAAAATATCCAAAAAAAAAAAAAACAAAAACAGAATATCAATTCGAAGTATAACACAATTTTTCACCAACAATGTTTTTTAAAATTACAATAAAAAATTAAGGTTATTTCTTACAATATTCAGACATGCACTGAAAGTTCAAAACTAATAGAATACTTTTTAAAATAGTAAAATACTTATAAATCTGCAAATTTATAATATTAGACCTTTTCATAAACACAGTATATTGCGATATATAGCAAGTGTTCATAAATAAATGTTGCTAATCAAGTTTTTTCATAAACATTGTTAATCTATCACAAAAATATTTAAATTATCATGGCTAGCGCAGTTAAATCAGCTGTATTTATATTGCGTATGTATCACATTATTGTTCTGCAGTATTGTGTTCTCTAATATGAAAATCTCTAATATTATTAATTTATTTTGAGTAACTTGTTTTAATATCCAACATTTATCTAATATACTCTTCTTCTAATTTATAATATTTTGGCAGTAGTTATATTAAAAAAAAAACTTAAAAATTTCTTTAGAATTTTAAGCGGAACTTTTATTTTGAAATATGCTTTTTTTGTAGATTTTAAAGTTTAGATTTATCGAACATATTTTATATTAAGACCTAAATTAGAACTAAATGAAACTTTAACAATAAACGGTCGACTGATTTTATAAAGAATTCAAAAAGAATATTGTAATAAATTAATAAAATTATTCATTTGTTTTATTTATTTAATTTATTATTTTTTTAATGAATTTAAGGCAATTTTCACAATTATTGTTAAAATTCAATATTACATTAAGTAATTGAAATGAAAAATATAAATGGGATTTTATTAATTAATTAGAAGAGGGCTAAAAATATTTAACATGATTTTAAATAATATTTGAAATTAATATATAAAATTACTGTAAAAATTTAAAACAAAATAAAATTAAAAATGTAAATGAATTAGAAAAATTGATTTGCAGCAGTAATATCAAATTCAGAATATTATTTTTATTATAATAAAAGATTAATTATGTTTGAATTTAATATTGATATTAAAAATTAATGAGTTCCTAACTAGTTCAAAACTCAAATTTATAAGCTGATCGAAAGTTTATTATTAAATCTAGCAAAACTAATTATATGATTATTGGCTTATTAAAACCGGAGTTAAATATTTCTATAAATCATTAAAAGGTTGGAACATGCAGCGAATTAATTCTTGTGATTGAAATGGAATATGTAAAAATTAAGTACAAAACTTGCAGTGGTAAGCTGAGGTATTACAAAAGGATATCTAATCTTATTCCAGAAAACTATCATAATGCTTAAAACAGTAATAAAAATATGGCTATAAAATTCTTTTCAAATACAACTGGCATGAAAAAATATAGTAACTATATTCACGCATGATTGAACTCTTCAACAATTGAATTCAATTGAACTGTTGTAATTTGGTAAAAATTAAATTAATGTTACATATTAATTTGTAACCTAATGGATTCATACTTCGATTATGTTAGTTCGAATGGATCAAATATATTGTATAAATACCATTGGAACAAAAATTTGTTACACACTATAGTCGTATAAAGCATAATAAATTTTTTCATTGATTGACATAAGACATTTTTGCATTGACATAAGACAAAAATTGATTCTTATGTCAATTATTGCAAGCATTGACATAAGAATCAATTTTTCACAATAACAGGTCTTAATAATGATCGAAAACTTGCTTAATGCCCTATACAATTGAAAAAAGAATTAATGAACGTTATATTAAGTAATTACAATATTAGCATTTCATAATACTTTGGTATATGCAGAAAATTTTAATCAAGAAATGTCATCAAGTATTTAAAGACGAAAGACTTCAACGTTTTTTTTTTTTTGTGGCAAATTTTGGTGAACATTTGTGATATTTAGTTGACTTCATTTAATTTTATTACAATATGAAATTTTATTTTTTTTTTTTTAAATAATTTTCTTTAATTTTAAATATAATTTTAATTTAAGTTTGATTTTTGAAATTTTGACATATGAAATTTAAGAGTGCATAGCCCTGTTATAAAATAGATCTAGTTTCTGTTTGGACATAACGAAATAAATAATTAAATAAATTTTGTGATTTTTAAATTATAGTTTTTTTTTTTTTTCTTAAGAATTTAAGCTGCCAAAATATTTCTTTTGAAAATCATAAACTGTTTAACTGTTAGATAAATGTGTCAACTCATGCAAGTAATTTATGTATGCGAATGTAATAGAATGCGAATGGCTTTCTAAGACTATAATAATTTAAAATTTCTAAAAATTTTAATTTTTTAATTTATTCCACTTAAATATTGACTAAAATTATTGTTTTTAGTTATTGTTTTGAATTCCTTGAAATCTGTATATTGAATGTGTTTAAAAATTTGATTATTTAAAAAAAAAAGAAATTAAAATTTTTTTACACTAAAATTTTTTTACAGCCTAAATTATTCGGATATCAAAAACAAATTCATATATATTTTTATTAATATTACATACGTATGTATATCGCTCATTTTCTGTAACAGTAACATTACTATAAGAAATACAATTCAGCGCTTAAAATATTAAAAGAATTTTATAGCTTAAGAAGTAAGCGTCTAAAATATTTCATTTTTGGGCAAAAACTATAGCGATATATTCTTGTTTAATATTTTTATTAAATTACAAAAATAATTATATGTATGTATTTATTTTATTAACCTTAATATTCTTAACATCGGATCCTTTTTATTTTTTTCAAATTTATCATTATTATCTTCCTCATTTGGACTTGATGAATCTTCTCCATTATCTTCATTGAAATTTATATTATTTGATAAATTATTAATTATTTCATTTAAATTTTCATTTGATGTATCCATTTTTTTATTTTTATTTTAATTTTTATATTTTAATCCTTCATATTAAAAATAAATACTTAAGTTATAATAAAAGGCTTACTGTACTTAATTTTATTCTAACATTTATGAACAAATAAATAAAATTAAATAGGTTTTATGTATAAGTATATAAAAAAAAAATAATAAATAAAATTATAAATGTTATGTTATAATTATTTCTATATGTATGTATAGAAACTATGTTTGTATGTATAATAAAAACTTATCGAACTAATCAAATAAAACAAAAAAAAACAAATTCTTAACGTGAAAATAGCAATGTGAAGTTTATAAAACAAAAGCTATTCAAATACTAAAATCTCAATTATCATTCAGGAATAAATTTTCAAAATAATGATAAAATCATTTTTTTTTTTTGAAGTATAAAACATAAAAAAAAATTAACAAGAAAAATGAAAAATAACTAACCATGATTGTCACA